CATCAAACAACTTCTATGCCAGTGTATCAAATGCTTTACTCACAGCTGTCTAGAATAAACCCAACGTCTTTTCTTTGTACAGAAAGACATTTTAATTTTTCTCAGTAAATAGTGTATTAAGCTGGTACTAACTCCTCTTAATAAATGCTACTAGTATTTTTTCTATTTTTCATTTCTCTATTCTTCCAGTTAATTTTTTTCTGTAGTTTTCATGTTTTGTCTTCAAAGTTTTGTGGAGAAGTCTAAATTGTAAAAAAAACAAACAAACAAAAAACCACAACAAAAACCAACACCTAAACATAATCATAACTAACCATTATAAACCCCGTAAAAATAAAGGGGATAATTTTCTTCTCATTGTTTCAGAATAAAAAGATTTGATTTCTTTGTGTTCAGGAAAAGTCTCAAAAAGCACTGACCAAACCTGGACCTTTGAAGCCAATCATAGCTAAAGTGGCATTAGCCAAGTATTTTCCATTGTGCCAGATATCCAAATTATTTATTTTAAATTTATTCTGTAGATTTCAAAGATCAGATTTTTCAAAGATAAGATGTACTTAACCTACACATGTGAATGCAGCAGAATACCTACTAATTTAATGAGAATAATAAATATTAAAGGACTTGAGTATAATGGAAATAAGAAAAATGGAATACCCTGGCCAAGAAACTGAAAAGATTCATTATACTAAAGGGACCTCTCTCAGTCTTTTGAAATTACATGGAAGTCTTATAATTGTGAGGGAGAGAGGAGTTACAGACATCACTTTAAACAAGCTACTATCATTCTTTCATAGAATGTCTTTGCATGTTTGTTCTGCAGAAATATGTTTTTCAGTAGCCAAGCTACTTGCACGTTACAGAAAGACTGCTCTGAAGAGTTCTTCATATCACTGTTGCTGGCTAGGAATATCTGGTTTTGTGATGTTCATATTGGTAGACTGCCATTCCCAGGGCACTGCCTAAAAGCAGCTTGTGGAGCAGTTTAAGCCTCCCAACTAGAAGGTGCACACTCAGCTACTCTTCGTGCCTCTGGACAGCAGGACACCCTTGGGATGCTCACATGGAAGAGAATGGAAAAGATGAGGTGACACACTTAAGGACAACCTTTCCTTAGAAAACTCTCCCTCTGCACGTATTGCTTCTTTGTCTAAGAGAAAAGCATAGGGTTCCAGAGACTACCTGGACATGAGACGATCAGTAACAGCAGCTAAAGTTCAAAATAACTGGAACTACTGAACACCTTCTGGAGCTGCAGAGAAAACACCCTGATTAGTTTGTTTATTCAGAGACTCTGAATTTCACCTCCTCTTACTGCAGCTACAACATCTGATGCAGGAGGGTTGGACAGTAGTATCCCTGTGCTGCTTCTCAAAGGATGGTGGTCTATCTGTATGTTCCCTGGAGCTCTGCCCAAGGTCTGAATTCCTGTTGTCATGAGCAAGACGTGCTATTTGCCCCACTCAGGCATGGCACCTTCTTTGTTGCATTCCATCTGATCATTGAGAGAGGCTCAGTAAGATCATCTATGTTAATAGTTACTGATGCTAAAATTCGATGGAACTTTAATTTTCTCCAGTTAAGATCTTAACCACACTTACTCTAGAGCCACAATCCCCTTTTCCTGCAAACCCTCTCTAAAATCTATTTCCAAGGCTGATGAAATCTTTCCTTAAGTAGGTGGACTACACAGAAAACCCCAAACAACCAACCTAACAAAATGCAGGATGACATTAGAGAGAGCATTTGGGAGGTTTAGGAATACCTGATGAAGACCTAATATCTTCACAAAGTGTGAAGACTTAGGAAGAGCACTCCTTTTGCAAGGAGACTGACGACAGCATTTCACATAAACTCCCTGTAATCTGGAAAGCAGGACTCAAAACACATGAAAAGGTTAAACAGCTCAGGAGACAGCCACTCTTAAAAGAAGCACATTGTCCAAGATGGCTTGTACACATGCTTTGAGGAAATCCTCCCTAGTTTTTCATATCATTTGGGTATTTCTGGCAACTGTATGTTATGCATCATGTGAACAATAGTTGTTAGATGGTTGAACAAAACTCCTTTTAAACAGTGAAAGCAATGGATTTATAGTCTTTATACACTGACATGAACAAGATTTGTGGATAGAATACAAATTGTCAAAACATCTTGAACTCCATAAACAATTTAAATAAGAATTGAGCTCAAATGGGATTGATGTCATTGCTTCACTATGGAAAGCCTAAATCAGCTATATATTGCTAAAACCGTGTATTAGAGGGTTCTGAAGAGAAAGGTGGCCAGGCAGCAGGTACTTGTTACTTATAATTCTACTGGCATGTACTTTTCCTTGGTAGGCAGACTTTGCCAACAGCTGCGATTGGAGAAAAGCTTTTGGCTCCTGCGTGTGCTGTGGGAGCAGAGAACTTACAGTTCCTTGGCACTGCCTGCCACTGTGTCCATTACCTGCCACTGAACTTTCCATTTCCACTTTTACTGACCTCTGGCTCTGCTGATTCAAAATAATATTTATTTCAATCAAAATGCATTTACTTTTCTACTACCTCTACTGTGATGAATTTCTATCCATGTTTGGACTCCATCCTTTCTCTCTGTGTTCATGCTGTCCTTCTGTCACTCCTGGATACCTCTATAAAATCTTTCCTTTGAACTTGATGGGCCATTCTTTGAAATGGCATCAGATCAACACTGACTGTCTACTGTCTAAAATGTTATGACTCGTTTGTTTCTTCTTAACCTATCTGCTCTTTGCTGTGTAAGAATATCAGTCTTGTTTGTATATATCTCCATTCTTGTTCTTTTTTTTTTTTGGCTCTCTACATCTGCTATATTAGGCCATTGAACTGTGATATGTTTAAGTGAAAAGAATTGTAACTTAATTTTCTAGACTTCATCTATCAATAATTTGATTTTTTTCTCAAGAAAAAAAAGCATTTAGCTATTTCTAAACAAAAATATTAGTATTTGATACATCGCCTTCATCGGGTGTCTTTTTCATGTTAAAGAGTCACTGGGATTAGCAACAGAGGAAATGGCTGAGAAATAACTGATGATATTTCTCTTTGCCTAAAAACGCTGATTCATTGAAAACAAACCATCACAAAAAGCTGACTATGTACAGTCTTGTGATAAGAGAGAAGCAAGTTTCAAAACTTTATTGCCAGTTTTAGGATATGTGGACTGCTACTACCCGAGATACTGGTTTCTGTCATTCCACAGAAGGAATAATGATGACTATTCCCAAGACAGTTTCTACACAGAATGTTATCACTAATTTGTTAATTGGTTTCCCAGGCTACTCAGCTTCAGCAGCCTAATGAATCATTTACTCGGAGAATCAAACAGTGGATTTTGGTGTCTGGCAAATCCTGTGTCCTCAGCTGCTGGGGCAGCCCCACTGGGGGACAGCCTGAGGGACAGATCCATGGGGACTGCTCTGGCATTTACTGCTCGAGCACCTGAGGAGCCTTGATGTGTATACATTTCACTGGTGAGAACAGCTACTTTCTTAGCAGGGTGCCAGTCATCAGAAAGGGCAAGAAAGAACTTCTAAAGAGAGAGAAGAGAGAAAGGATTTTCCAAAGCCTTGCAATAACGATACACCAGAATCTTGTGAAAGATAAGAGAAATGGTTCTGAGATTTTTATTTTGGAAAAACCTATAGCTCTTAAGAAATTGTGAGGAGCACATCCAGACTGCCAGTGTCCAGAAGCCCAAAGAGGAGCCCAAAGACGAATCTTGCACAGAGGTCTCAGGAATCAAAGGGTTGCACTGTACAGTTCTCCATGTCTAAGAGTTTTGATCTGAGAATCTACCTGGGAATATCAGAGCTAATGGCATAACCAGGCTCTTCTCCAATCCAGCTGCTTCAGGAGTAGGTGCAATTTGGCATTTCAGTTCACCTGTCACATACAGATTAAAGTCAATCCAAAGAGGTATTATTTTCTGTGACAATGAAAATGCTTTCATTACCTGATCATATGCCATCCTAGAAGTTTTTCTTTCAACATTAATGTTTCTACATTCTTTCTGCTCTCAACATGTAAGTTTTTAACACTGCTCATTACAGTTCATATTATTTCTCTTTAATGATATCACACATTATAATCAGAAATTTCTTCTCAATATATGACAATAATTTTTGCATATGCATTAAAAAATGAAAGTTGTATTCATCTTTTTCGTAGAAGTGTCCTTGGTTTGCTTATGGCTGGTTATTTTGGGTGACATAAGGCTATTTAGTAGAATTTTATGATGCCTTCTCAGTCTGTTTTAATACTTAGTACTCATGTTACAGTATACATAAGACAGTGGAAAGGACACTGTTTTATATTCTCATTCTCAGCTAAAGGCCAGCATATAAGCTTTTCTTTTTCTATAACATGCCACTTAACTACTTACTTTATATGCCTTGTGAGGCAAAACCCAGATTCATGGAAATAATATGGAGTGGCCTTAAACTGTTGGTCCTCTATTGAGATCTCGGAAAAAAGCACCCTTGGGGGGAAGAAAGATTTGGTAATACAGCTGTTGACCCATACTGGGGTAAGATTGACCCTACCAGGGATCACTTCACTCACCCCATATCTGTATGGGGTTTTCATGTGTGGCTGGCTTGAGGGGACCGTGCTCTATATCTTCATGTTTTCACAGGCAAAAGGCACTCCAGTGAGGGCACCGGTGCGCTGTCGGGACAGGCTCTCAGCCCCCTGGGCGTGTATGCGTGGGAAAGGGGTGTTCTCCGGCACCTCAAAGCGGGCAGCGAGGGATAAGTGCCATCCACAGCCCGGGAGAGCAGGGGAGCATCTGCGGGGCGGCGGGATGGGCGTCCCGGCTGAGGGGAACGACCCGCACCTCTTATGGGGGGAGCGACGGCGAGAGGGAGGAGGAGAAAAGGACGGCGAGGAGAGGGGCTGTGGAGACGCGGGCGGGCAGGAGCCGGGGGCCAGAGGAGGAGCTGAGCGCAGAGCGGCGGCGGGCACGGACGCGGCGGGGCCGGGAGCTGGCGGCGGCCGGAGCGGGGGCAGGTGCGGGAGCCGCCCACCGCCGCTGCCCCGCCAGAGCCCCCCGGGCCCTATGGTGCCGCGGCGGGACCCGCATCCCGCTCGCCGCCTTCCGACGGGCCCCGCGGAGCGGCGCGGGGCAGCGCAGCCCGCCGGCCCCGGGAATCCGCGGGCATGAGGAACCTGCCGATCCTCCTCCTCTCGCTCTGCTGGAGCCTGGGGCGGGTAAGTCTCCTGCGGGCCCGCGGCACAGGGTAAAACTCACCCCCTCCAGACCTACGGCTGTTCCTCGAGGTGCCCATGCGGAGCCCCCGGGCCGGAGCTTCCCCGCAGCTCCCCGGGGCGGGGGCTCGGTGGCAGCCGCGGCAGGTGCGGCTCTGGGACATCGGTGCCTCCCGGCAGTGGCCCTCACTGGCATTCCCTGGGCGGGGATGTCGAGGGGAGAGGGTCCTCAGCCCCCGCCGGCATCCCCGGGCGCTCCCTCTCCGCGCCCCCGGGGCGGGCTCCGTGCCCGCACCCGCATCGGCGGAGCCTCCCCGCACCCCCGGGCGCTCCGCAGGGCCGGGACGGCTCCGCCCCGGCCCGGTCCCCATCCCCGCCGAGCGGGCACTCGTTCCCCGCAGTTTCCCCCTGACCGGTGGGGCAACAACAGTTTGCAAAGAGTTTTCACGGAGCGCTGCCCCTGGGGCGGTCCAGCGGGTCGCTGGTGGTCATCGTGGTGGGGAAACCCCGGCCACTGGATTGAGACCTACAAAGCATTCAGAATATTGAAGCCTTCTTTAGGGCGCCTGCTTTTAGCATCTTTATATTTTCAAGCGTTTCTTAAGTAGTTTGTAAAAGTCAGTTACGCTGGTGGAAACATGATATACAAAACAAAACAAACCCCAAAAATAAACCCCAAACAAACAAAAAATCTGCCCTCTAAATCTTTCCAAAGATTATTACTGTACAACACCAAAAATCAGGAAACCACTCTGAAGGTGAGTGTAAACTGCTTGTCAGAGGAAATGTTAAAATTGCTAGTCTGGATGCCTTAGAAATTGTTAAGCTGCTTAAAAGGTAGAGAGACTCCTCAGCTGGATTTCCAGCTCAATGTGCATCTTTACACTGTGCAGCACACATGGTTCTGTATTCACTGGTGACAAAGGATGACCTACCCTTGGTTAAGCAGAGGGACAGATGGATGAGCACCAGTCCTGAGAGGTGGTGAGCGTCCTCAAAATCCACTTTGGGGTTCTTAATGTGTTTTGGGAAGCGGTCAGAGCCCCATAGACTTGAACCTTTAATCTCTTTAGCTTTGTGAAGCTGAAGGAAACAGGTGTATTAGAAGTCATACAGTGTAGTACAGTTTGACATGCATCCCAGCTTTGAAAAGTAATGTTGTGTTACCTTTGGCTACCAGCAAATTTATGTTTTCAAAGTAACCTTCTCTGGTTACGTCACTGTTACTGGAAAACTTGCACTTATTTAAGAAGTACAAGAGAGAGTTGTTTATGCTGTTGGTTTCTTAATTGCAGTAGCTGCTTTGATTTATTCCTTATTTAACATTTCTATTTACTGGAACCTTCTTTTCCAAGACCCAGTAAGTATAATACTTTTTGATGAGAAGGAAATCTACTGGTGGTTACCGAATGTTTGCAACTGGAAAAGGAAAAAATAAAACTAAAATATGTTATGTTAAATGAAAATGCTATTAAAAACATTACGTATACATGGGACTTTTATTTTACGTGGGAGCTATCTGCAAAGTAGATAATACATAACAAAAGGTAGATATTTTCAGTATAATGCTGAACTTTCTGTTACGAGTTCCAGACGTTCTAATTTATGTTAAATATCTGTCGTTATAGAGGAAAAAAATCTGCACTGAAAACATATAATTTCAATAGTCAACATAGAGAAAAGACTGAAAAGAAGGCAAGGTTCCGATGTTGTAGATGGTAAAAGGAGACATTTGGAGAAGAGACAGATTTCTGTGAGTTTTAACAACAGCTCCTGCTGTTGTGCTTATGGCTATTACACTATATTTTTAATAGCTGGGAAAGTGGCTGGCCCACAAGAAGCCTGCAGAATCACCAGGTTCTCAGTCCTACCTTTGGGTCCAAGGTTCTGGGTCCACAATCACAGCTTAATTAAGTAGTGCCATTTGAAAAAAAAATTACTGTGTCATGCATCAGAGATTGTTACCAAATTCTGTTATTAAATATCTCCTAAAAAAAGTGAGACGAAAGAGAAAGGAACTTGGAAGGAGACCACCCTTTTCTTGGTAACTACAAGTGTGAGGATGAGTGAAGTACTGCATATTCCCATTCTATTTATTTAAGATGTTATTCCATTTGAGTTAATCAAACAGTCCCATTAGCTCCAGTGCTGTTTCCAACTTTCCCATTTGTCACCTACCACAGTAACTTGCTCCCACGCACTCTCTTACGGACTCTGTGTGTTTCTCTGTGAGGCTCTATCTGTCTCTCTGAATCCAACCAACTGCAGTGCATCTTCCCTGGGTCTTGTTTCTCTACCCAGTACTCCTACATCTGTCTCTGTGGACATATATAACCTTTTCTTAACATCAAAGAACTGGGGGCAGGGCTTTGAATGAGTAAAGGCATTAAGTGCTTTAATTTTTAAGTAGTGGGGTTCTCTTCCTGAATAGCACTTGCTTGAATCAAATAATCATGCTCTGGGACCTCCAGGAGATAAAATATACACGGTGAAAAGGGGAAGAAAAGCAAAATTTACCATGTCAAAGAGAATGCAGTTTCATCAAGTTTCACGTTCTGTGATTTGCATTAAACTTTCAGCTTCCTAACCTAGTACAAAAGGGGGAAAAAAGGCAAATGTGTTTACTCTCCTGCTTCAGTTTAGCTCACAGTTTTTCTGTAGAAGGTCTCATGACATAAAATTAGGGAATGCACTAGAAAGCTAAATGAAATGCTACAGGAAGGAGCCACTGAATGCTCTAGTAGATTATTTCAACATTTTACTATGAAAAGTCAATGTGTGAGAAGCTAAAATGGGCACTGAGTGTGTTAAAAAATGCCTAGCACATGCTTGGGCAAAACCAGTGCCAGTTAAAGTTGTAGCTTTCCTTATTGGTAGTTGCATTCTTCATGAAGCATTTTAATTCACATTTCAAGACAAAACCTGTTTGTTAATTCGACACAGGTGAATGGTATCCATCCAGAATGCAGATTTCAGCTGGAGATTCACAAGGAGGAAACAAGGTGCATGGAACTTCTAAAGAATGCGAAGCCAGTGGACTACAAGGGTAAGAGAAGATAAGGTGTAATGTACAGATAACTGGAGAGCCAAAGTTTTTTTCCCTTTACCTTCTTTACTGTTGCAGTTGTGGTTTCCATACTTGTCCTCACTGTGCTGATGATTTTATGGTTTTCAGAATTCATAGGATTTTGCATTAAAGATACACCTGCAGCAAGGATGTTGTGAGAGGTGTGCCAGGGGCTGGTGTTTTCTGACTGGCAGAGGAGCTGCAGGTTGGTGATGACGGGACAAAGAAAGAACAAATCTGAGGGAAAGTTGAAAGCCTTGGGTCCAAGCATCTCTCTCGAGTTATGCTGAAAGTAAAGAACTAGTGGGAGGAATGATCTCTGGGTTTCCCAGGCAGACAATGTTTCAGACAGAAGATCAGATTCGTGTTATATCCAAAAAACAAACTCTCCCTGTTACTTTGTTGTGTTTTTTTTTTTTTTCTTTCTGCATAGAAAGATAATTATGTAGCAAACTGTAATTTAATGGAAGAAAGAAGGAGGAGTAAATGAAGTTAATTTTTTATTATTTTTTTTTTATTTTTTTAGATTTTATTAGATTTCTTTGCTACATTTTCATGTGAGGAGAACAAAATTTTATGGAAAAATTACATTTTTCTTTTAAGTTGAAACTGATGATAAAGCTATTTGTTCAGCAATCGGAATACAAAGGCAACAGATAAATTCAGATGGGTGGTATGTAGGTTATTTGTCTTTTTTGGTGTTCAATCTGTTTTAAATGCACTCTGAGGATAATTATGGGACCTCCGAGACCTGCCATCTGCAGTGTCCTTTGAGCATAAACATGAGCCTCAACTTACAATGCTTTCTCCCCTCTCCTTGATTTAAATGTGTAACTGCCTCAGTTCATATTCTAATATCAATTTATATACAATAAAATAAGTCAAAGGATCATCAACAGTTTGTATTTCACTATAATTTCTTCTTTATGTCAATTCAGATCACTAATTAGAAAAATACAAAATCTTTCTGGAATAATTAATCTAGATTTCTATTTTTTTATTTATATGAGTGATGAAGAGAGATGGTTGTTACATAAATAATATTATTGTGCAGCCAGATGGAGAACTAATTAGTAGCCCAGCTTAATGAATGAAATCTTGAATTATTAAATTCACTATTAGCTGTTATAAGGCTTTGGAAGTCAAGCTTTCCTCAAGATACACTTTTGTGATCCAGATGCCAGATGGCTCCAAGGGTATCCTTGTGATGCACACCAGTTTTATTTTGAGTTCCATAGGGAAAGAAATGAGTTTTATGTCAATATTTGCTTCCCAACCTCTTTCCACTGGAAGAGGGGTGCCTCCTGAAGGCAAACTACTGTGAAAGAACTTCATGTCTTGGAAGGACACAGCATGTCTGGTACTGATTCAACTCTGCAGATAGTGATAAAACAGCAGTGATTTATACATTTGACTGAATTCCTGTCTGAAACTAAAGGAATAGTCCATTCTGTTGGAGACTAGAACAAAGTCCCTGTGGTAGTGGACTTTTACAACAGTGTGTTTAATGTTACAGGAGAGTTTATTCTATGCTTCATGTTATAGATACCCTAACCAAGAACCTTTAGAGAGTAGCCTATGTTAAATATAGGTATTTACACAGCAAAAATAGCCATTCTCTGTGTGTCCTTATTTTCCTAATAAAGTCTCTGTAATCATATGTTGAATAATTATGAATAATAATACTCTGCTGATAAAGAAGAATTACTGATGAAAATTGGAAAGCTGGAACTAGTCCAAGTCCTAGCTCCACATGTAACTTGTAGTAAATTTGAAACATAATTCTTTATAATAAATTCAGAAATGTTTTTCCTGAATGGCAAAGATGGTTATACAGCCTTTGTCATGCCTTTCTAACTTTAGTGTGTGCTACCTGACTTACAAAAGCTGTAACAAAATCTGAAGGTACTGTCTTGAATTTGAAAATAAAGGTTCCCTGAGATTTTCCACCAGAGGCTTGGTCCTCCATTATCAGAATCAGGGGAACATTTTCATTAACTTATTGGGCACCTGAGAAACTTTCATACTTCTGTGTCACATGCTCCAGAATTTGGCTGGCATGTACAGCTACTGAATTTTGGAGGATCCAAACTGTATGGGACAGTCAGCTTCTCCTTTCAGCTGGATGGCAATTATGTATTGAATACCTTACCTAATCTTCTCAGCTCCCAATTAGGGAGACATAAAGGAAATATTTAAAGGCAATTAAGTTGGTATGTTTTTGGTTTTGTGGTGTTTTTTTTTTTTTACATAATAAATGATCTTGCCTGAGCTGCCTCATGACATGGGCTGAAGAATTTCACTGAGTAATTTCTGTAGTGCACCTAAAATCACTGACTATGAAGTCTATAAAGGACTTGCTTACTCCAGGGCTTAATAAAGCAATAGCGTGTTTTGCAAGGAAACACTGCATAAAGACTGTGTAAATATCCTTTGAACAGTGCTAAGGATATACTAAAACCACAGGACGAGGTCTGAGACATCCAGACCTCTTGCTTTGCACCCTTTGGGGGATTTTCAGGCATTAGCACATACCTTTCCATTAGTGGGCAGCATTACACTCCATTTAGGGAAGGAGTCACTCTCCAAAGATCTGTGGCAGTGCCTTCCTCTCTGTAGTGCTCTTTAGCACATCTAGTTGTTTATTTTATGAAGACTGCATTAGCTTCTATCCACATTTGTTTTCTTCTTTCCACCTTTAATTTGGCCCCTGAGGTATGGATGCACCTTAGCTGAGAGCCTAGCAGAGGGTTTCTTTTTTTTTTCAAACTTATTTATTTTTGAAGGGCAGATGAATTGCATTCTAAATAGTTTATAGTAGCTACGGATTTTGAGGTCCATATCGAAAAAACCAAACTAATCTGTTTTTTATCTGCTACCCATGGCTTGTCTTCTTACAAACAAAAAAACAAAACAAACAAAAAAAAACCCAAAACAAAACAAAAAAAAAAACCAAAACAAAACAAAAAAGAAAAACCCAACAAACAGAAAACTCCCAATAAAGTGAATGAAAAGACAAAAAAATTGTTCTGCTGCAAACTTCTGCCTTTATTCAGTATTTAGAATTTTTCCTTATAAAGTAACTGACTCATTTTTGTTCACCTTATAATGAAAAATGAAAACTTACTGTCAGAAATGTTAAAACTCGGTCAGTAGACTTTTCAAGAGGGTTTACATCAGAAAGTTTTAAAAGGATTTCATTATGAAAAAATGAAGTCTAAGGTATTCATCTTGGTCTAAGTGGCTGCACAGTTAAATGTGTCTTTTTGGATTTTGTATTCCAAAATGTGTTTTTGTGAGACCATATGTCAGACAACATTTTAAATTTTAGATATGACATCTTAACTTTGAGAAAGGGATGTAGAAAAAAAGAAAAATGGCTTTGGAAAGAGAAGCTTCATAACGCAACTAGTAATGGGAAATTAAAATAGACAAGACTACCAAAATGGTGTTCTTAAGTTACTCATAAATTTAAAGCAAGAAGGACCAATGTTGCTATATAATCCAATCTCCTGAATTACGCTGTCAATGGAATTTCACTCAATGATTGCAGCACTGAGCTCAAGATCTTGTGGCTGAAACAGAGCACATTTTTCTGAAAGCTCTTCAGAACAGCGGGATGAATATTCAGAAGTTGAACCTGCGGCAAATTGTCCAAAAGCCTTTTTAATCCAACTCATTTAGCTCTTAAGGTTATTTTTCCAGTAAGAAAGGTGCCTATTTTGCATTTCCACACACCCAGCACACTGTACTACCACACGTCTGTGTATGACACACACCCCTCTGTGTATAACAAGGCCAACCTGACAATCACTGTCTCCTCCACATTAGTAAACAAAAGACTTACACAAAGCCAGATGAGGCCTTTCTCTTGCTACATGAAATCTCCTCAAGGTTCCCCTTTCTTTATCCTCCCTATCTCATCAAGGTCTTGCATCAGGTTTTGTTTGGTTTTGCAGCTATTTTCTCTGCAAAATGAGTCAGTATTTCAGCCTGCAGTGTTGCTTACAGTCATCTGAGGTAGCATTCGAAGTAGAATTAAATGAGATAGTGGGATCATGTAACTTTTATGCAGCACCAGTAGCTCTTGGCAGAACAACTTTAGCTTTCTTGAATCTCTGTGCTGCTGCTTTTCTAGCTGTAGTACAAACATGTTGCTACTTTTTGGTTCACACATTTTTTAATGAAGGGAGCCAAAGGAACTGCTTTGGATGTTTGTCTGTTTTGGCTTTTATTAATTGAAGTCTCATCATTAATGACACCATATGAAACTGATCATCCTCATGGTATTGACAATGTCTGGGCTTTGTGTAAGCTGTATTTAATTCTTTGAGGGCAGAAGAGAGGCAGAGCTGGTTCCTCTTTGGAGGAGGCTGGTTGAGAGAGACGGGAAAGAACCTTGGATGAAAGGAGTTGCCTACCGAAAAACAACCAATGGGAAATAAAATGGTGAAGACAAGAAAATGTCCTGATCAACCTCATTCAAAAATCTCATATAATAAAGGTTATTAAGAGTAGCAGTAGCAAACTCTTTTGGAAAGAAGAGAGGCAACACTTGTCCACAGTAATTTTGAAGACCTGAAATTCCAACTCCACCCAAAATGTAAACAGAAATTCAGCAGTAGACATTAATAAAAGGCATTTGTATTCCAAGGAAAGTGAACAGCCATAAGTGAATTTATTGTGTTTTCCAGAAGACTCTGAAAGAAATACTCACCCACATAGCTTTGCACTTGAGTCCTGATAAAGACGGCTGTGGCCGTGGCAGTCCACTCTCCATGGCATCCAAAGTTCAAATACCACAGGGAGAAAGTCTTGAGTACCAAAACACTGAAAGAGCTCCAGCTTAATACAACAAATAGCACATGGGTTAGACATAATACAAACTAGCAGAAATATAAGGTCTCTATACCTTACGGAGACTTTTAATATTTTGTGGTGCTGTTTATACAAACCAGAGATTGATATTTATTGGTATTTTTGGAAGAATGTGCATCATGTCAAAATTGTGTCAACATGAATGTGAAGGTACCTCTTACAGCTTTGTCTATACATCCATTGAATGAGAATAGAAAATGGTATTCTCATGGTATGAGTAAAATACTGTCCAGTCATACAAAAATAAATGCTCTTGTCTCCGAAGCACATTTTGAGTGACTGGAAAGCAGGATTTACTTGAAAAATTCAGAGGAAAATCTGTTTTCTTTTTTGTGAGGTGGGGTTTTTTGTTTGTTTGGTTTGGTTTGGTTGGTTTGTTTTTTAATTTTTTTGCTGACAACTTCTGTATTTCCTTATAGAACCCTAAAAATATGTAGATTACATTAAATTTAAAATTGGCTAATAGATTTTTGATTCTCTGGTGAGAAACTGTTCTTCAAAAGGGAAAAGAAACTTTCTTCTGAAGTGTTTAATTTAGTGAAAAGCCAGAAAATCCTCAGAAATCTCAGAAACAGTATTTTTGCTATTACTGATAATAGAGTTGGCTTTTGAAAAACCTATGAACTGCAAACATTTTAGGTGAATATGAGATAAACTCTATTGGTCTGATCGTTCCTTTAACTAGTTCAACCTGGTGTATACCATAGACTTCGAAAATTCTGCTTGCTGTCTATGAGTAGCGTTTGTTAATTAAAAGTTTTTACATTTCCTCTGCTCTGGGGAGGCTGAATCCGGTACCACCTGAAGGTCCAGACCTGAGCACGGACGGGGCTCTGGGCAGGGCCATCACAGCCTGTTTGTGCACTCAGGGCCCTGACAAAAGCAGATGGCAAATAACTTCAGTGAAATATCATGGAGCAACAGCTTTTTTTTACAACTGTCCTATTCCTATTGCTGCTCTAAGCAGTTCTGCTGCTTTGCTTCCAGTTTGCCAGCTTGCTATTTCTTTAACACCTCCTTTTCCTTTCTTTTTTATCACTTGTGTGAAAATGCAGAAAGAATATCAGTCTGTGTATCTTTGTAATTCCATGCAACCTAAGTTACATGCTGTGGTGTACAGACCTGCAGTCTAGAAATCATCGCCCATAAGAGGTGAGATGGCTCCTGTTCTGTCAAGTTAAATACAAAAATCAAAACATTTCCCTGTTTGAAAAATAAACCCTAGGCTAGCTGTCGACTTTCTGACTCATTTTCAAAGCACTCTTTTGTTGTTTCATGTTTCATGCACATCTAGACAGCTTAAAAAATGCTCAACCTCCCTTGGAAGTGGCAATTTTTAAATCCAAATGCAAAGTGCCACCTAGTGGTTTTATATACACAAAATGTGTCTATAAACAAAACTTTCTAGTGCAAGTCCAGTGTTTCACTTCTTTATAGACAAAGAAGCACACGCAGGTAAACGAACTTATTGCTCAAAGACTGGATCTCAAACAGCAGGATGATGAATGTGGTGGCAGTGCTTATGTAAGCTGGAGAAAATAAGAAACAAAACGTAGTTTATAGTCTGTTATGTTTCCTTTCATTATGAAGTATCTGCAAATGCATCACAAGAATTCAAGACCAAACATTCAAATAAAGTAAGTGATCTCATTGAAACCAGCTAGCAATAACATCTGCAGTGTCATCTAGAGGAATAGGAGGGAGGATCAGCAGAGGAGTGACTTTTGAGAGAGTAACTGAGCAGAGGTTTTCTGGGAATTTTGGTTGTTTCCTTGGATATGCAGTGAATGACATATCAGGGAAAAAAATATGCAAATTAAGAGACTTTAAAGGGATTGTTATACATAGGGTGCAGTTGTGTTCTTCTAGACACCACAGAAAGAAGGATGAAGAACCTTTTGGTTTTTTTGCTAGTCTTACTAACAGTTCTCATGGTTTAACCCCAGCCAGCTACCAAGTACATGAGGCCATGAGTTCAGTCCCCATCCGTGGGGTCAGGGAGAGAATTGGAAGGGTAACAGCTGGAAAACTCATGGGCTGAGATGAAGACAATTTACTAGGGAAAGCAGAAGCCATACATGCAAGGGAAGAAAAGAAAGGATTTAAATCACTGCTTCACAAGGGCAGGCAGGTGTTCAGCCATCCCCAGGATAGCAGGGTCCCATCACATGTAGTGGTTACTTGGGAAGACAAACACCATCAATCTGAATGTCTCCTGCTTCCTCCTTCTTCCTCCCACTTTACGTGCTGAGCATGATGTCATATGGTCTGGAATATCCCTTTGGTCAGCTGGGGTCACCTGTCCTGGCTGTGTCTCTTCCCAAACCTCCAGGCACACCCAGCTTCCTCACCACCGTGTCTGCATGAAACGCAGAAGAGGCCTCAGCTCTGTGTAAGCCCTTCTCAGCAATAACAAAAACAGCTTCTTTGGGTGTGCATCAACACTTTCATGCCTCACCTCAGCTCTCACTTTTAATGGAAATGGGGATGAAATAGAAAGGTCTGAAGTACCACAAGAGGATGATTAATCTTGTGTACTCCAGGGCTTGTTTATGCTGGCTCATGCAGTCCAACCATCAAAGCCAAAGGAGTTTCATTTTGACGCTGTAGTTCTGAGTGCTGGCAGATGAAGAAAATAGTTTCTTTGTCTTTCTGATTATTTGTATGTCGTGTTGTTGAAGTTGTTTCTGGCTTAAAATCAATTGGGAAGGAAGCATGACCTGAATTGGCTGAGGTAAACATTCTTTTATTTTGCATAAGCCCTGGTGTTGCATCGTAGAGATTTGGACTTGATCTTGACCCAAAACTGCAACTCAGGAAGCACCCATGCATGTTGAAGTTCTGTTGACTTCAAAGGCTGTGAAGGCGACTTGCTCAGATGTAAACCTCTTAAACTGGGTAGAGATGGCCAAGTCAATATCAGAGATATCTCAGAGATGCTGTTAGTAACACCCAAAGAGGCTGATCCAGCATACAAGGCAATGGAATAAGACATTACTTTATCTACAGAGATAAACTTTGTGAAGTTTCCCTTTAGTAATCCCTTATTTTTGGCATCATCCTTCTGAATATAGAACAGAGGCTGCATTTAGAACTGTACAATGCTAAGAGGAGTGAAGATAGACTCAATCCCCATGAGCAAGTGTTTCCTCTGGAGAATAACATTTTCTTGGGAAACTGTATAAAGAGAGCTCTACGGAATTGGTGACCAAATGCAGAATTGCCCCCATCATCCTCCTCTCATCATCTCCAAACCCTGTTCTTGGTACCACAGAGGATCCCTCCCAGCTATAACACTTGGATGGAGTCTTCCTAAGAAAAACAAGGCCCATGGGAACGCTGTGCCACTGGGTTTTCTTCTTGCTGCATGCTACATGCCCCCAGGACAAATCCAACTGCTGGTCCCATAACACATTCTTCAGTTCCCTAGTTTATGTGCACTTAGAAAATTAACTTTGAAAGCAGGATGCTGCACATTTTATGTTAACACAAGTTGTCCAAGTTTAATTGCACTAATATGGTCTAATACAAATATAGAACTTCTAAATATTCTTTTTCCAGCTTCATTTAACTCATGTGGCTTGATTTTGGGCATGACCTCACTAGGACAGAATAAATTAATAGTGAATTGCTAATACTATAAATATTCTGAAGAATAATATAGATGTGAGCAGTTCCTAATCCAAGTTTTATGTTCTCTACGGAAAGGAACAAACTGTCCCTTAGACTTCTAATAATCTCATGGAAATAATACTGGTAGGATAAAAGTTTTATTTTTCTCTTTTGCATAAGTTAAAAAATTTAAATTGTCAATTGCCTTATTTGAAGACATAAATGCCAAGAATTTTGCACATGATTTATTTTTATTCAGGATAACTTGAACTGCATATGAATAACATTTCCTTACTTCTTTGTCCTTGTAAGGCTTATATCAAGAAACTTTCATAACTCTTTGCTTAGCTTAGAAGACAAGGATTATAAATAGACACCTTTAAACGTGGCATGGTTGAGCCAAGTGCCTTTAGCAGGCTATAGAAAGCTTTGTGCTCATTCACAAGATACTGCCTTTGAGCCACATTTATATAGACATCAGCACGGGAAAGGCTGTAGCAAATTACTATCTACTTGTTATGCAGCAAGTTATGCACCAAGTCACTGTCTACTTGTAACAAGTCATTACTGCCAGTATAAAACATACCTGTAAAATTTGAAATCCCCCTCCCCTTCCTGATGTCAATATAAAGAAGCATTCTTTGTTCAAATGCCTGCTATTTAGTTTGAGAGATTATTTTGTAAGTCCATGCCTATTGTTCCAAAAATTCTCCGTGGGTTCCTATTGTATATGTCATGTTGACTCCTATTAATTACTTAAATATTTCTTTGTGCTGTTCAATAAGGTTATTACTGCAGATAGAAAACTTCGTTTTGTGATTAAGAGATTTCAAAATTTTGCAGTTGTTAATAATCATATTCAATAATCAATATCAATGCTTAGAAGTCATTTTTTAAACACTTCTTACCGTTTCTTATCATTCTCACATCCAAATGACGTAGTTTTAATGAAACATTGTGCAAACAGTACATTAACTGACCCAAAAATAAGCTGGTTAATCAGCAGACTCCTATGATTTCTTTAACATTTTCATAGAAAATACCATCTTTGTAGCTTTCTTGAAAGAGTCTAACATTTCTTGGACCACTTATCCAAAACTTCCACCAGGTCTTTATAACGTAAATACAGGAGGGGGATTTGGATCACACTGAGATTTCAAGTCTGTTACTGCTGGGTTTTTTTCAGGATGTGTTGGAGTTTGGGATAACATCACCTGTTGGCGTCCTGCGAAGATTGGAGAGACTGTCACTGTCCCTTGCCCAAAAGTGTTTAGCCTGTTTTCTGGCAAACCAGGTATTTTATTCTAAGGTGTACTTTTACTGGCTTCTTTATGGTATTTGTAGCATGTGCTAAAAGTGGTTTATTTGGAGTTTTTGTTTTCTTTTTAAAGAGTTAAAATTCTTTTCAGAGCTGTTTGTGATACACCATGAAAAGACCAAATTGTCGTCTTTGTGGTCTGTACAGTGTTCTTTGAGCCTGATACTAAATATATATTCTAATACAGTGACACTCACCAAGGCTGGAGACATTGCTTGCTCTTTTTGACCTATTTTTGATTATTATTAAGGCATCTGAGCCTGACTGAGATCTCTAAAAACTACCAGAAGATCACATGCAGATTCTCCCTTCTGTGATTAGAAGGGGAACTCTGCCTTGCTATCATGAGAATAATGAGCCCACACTAATACATAAGACCTAAAAAATATTACTTTTGCATTTTAAGGTAGTTATTATGAACCCTTTTATTCTGCTTTTCAATAGAACTTGAAAAGAGCTCATCAGTGTCTCAGGCTGCTTGAACAACTGTTTTAAACCTACCATATTCTGCACCATCTTGTCAATTCATCTTACTTTGATTTCATTTTGCACTGTGGCATGTTATAGTGGGCTTTTGGAAATACATGATGCACGTAGAGTGTTTCGCGTGTATCTCATAATGCAGTAGGAAAAATTTTACCCCATTGCTCAGGTGAGAAACTGTTGTCGTGAGGAGCTGGTGAAAAATGTGAAAGTCATCACAGTGATTTAATTGTGTTTTTGAGGTTAACTTGGGGTATGACTAAAATACCTTTTTTCTCAAAACTGTTGATTAAGTCTTGTTCCAGTAAAAAATAGATAACTAAAACAACCTACACATGAGCAAAGGTTTTAATTCCAGGAGCTGGTGAATGTTGGTTAGTTTATCATGGATAGTCTAAACAGTTTATAAAGGGGAAAGTATGTGTAATCTTTACTAAATCTTATGAAATCTATAAAAGTATTCAAATGACTCAGAGATATTAAGGTGTTGTCATGAGACAAAGCAAACTAATAAATATCAAAAATTCAAAATCTGAATTAAATCATTCTTCTTCCATTTGCCAAAGGTAGAGCGTGCACTCTCTCTCTGGAGTTTATTTCATAACTGTTAGTTATTATTGCAACAATATTTTAATTTTGCTGTAAAACAATTACAATAAATATTTAAGTCTGAAACCTTCACAGTACACTACAGCTCTGTCTCACCTTAACATGGTGTCAGCAAGTAAGAGTACTTCCTTTTCATAATTTTCTATAATTTTCCCAGATACAGCTTTTTTCATGCCTACCTGTTTACTTCTTACTTGTGAAACTAAAAGGGTGTTTTTTAGAGGTACTTGTTCAATTTAAGAGTGTTTTTAAATCTTATCTTTCTATAATTTCAGAGAAAGAAGACAGCAAACATCTTGCATGGTTGATTCAATTAAGATCTAACCAAGTATCTTAGCACCTTTAAAATTGCTCAAGAATATATAATTTATTTAATTTATACACAACACGTTTCAAATGAACTTCATTCTTATAGAAGAAAATTATAAAAATATATTTAAATAAGAAATCTAACTCTTTCTATTTAGCCAGACTTTTGAGATGTATGCTTTAGCTTTTTAGTGTTTAAAAGAAGTTAAAATTCTACAAGATGATCTAGACTACCCTATTTTTATGCAAGTATTGCAATTCAAAAGTAGGCTTTTATATGCCATTATTCTTTAAAGAATTTCTTAATTTAAATCATGAATTTAAAGAATTGGTTGTCTTCTTGTCCTTACAACTTTTGGAGACCTGACTCTAAATTTCTTCTGTGATGGTCAAGATTATAGTTTAACCATACCACATAATTAACTCTTTATTGAATATTAGTAATTTTTTATTAAAAGACTTTTTACTGTAAAACAACCATATTATCCTATAATGTTTTTCCTGTATTGTACCTGACAATGCAAGTTTAGGAGTCTCAGAAAGTTATTCAGTGAAGTTCTTATTCACACGTATACGTCTAATTAGAGGTTTTAAAATCAGGTTGCCTTCTGAAATACTTAATTGTGTGAAAAGGTGGTGCAGAAATAAACAATGCCTTCCACAGAACATTGCCTTTAGGTTAGAAGTACTTTAGGTTAGAGTACTTGAAGCAGAAAATACTTCAGCCCCTTGAGTACATAGAGTCTTTTTATTGCAAAACTGGCTTTGACGTAATTTGTGGTTCTGTTAAGACATTCCTCTGCTCCGCCTGGTCAGAGAATCCTGATGTAAAGTGAAGACTCTTCACAACGTATAAATAGGTTACATTTTCTTTTAGAAATGTCATGTCTATGCCAAAAGGCAGAAGTGGTCCTGTTGTTTGAGGAGAATACTGTGGATTTAGGTCAAGGCCTTTTTACTAGCTGGAAAGATGAGGTTGTTGGTTGGTGAACCATTTGTAGGATATTTACAACTTTCCACTGAAGACTTTATACAAAGACGAACTTCCAGTAACCAGTCAGCAAGATAAAAATCACAAAAGCTTTAGTTTGGAGTGTATATAAACAAGTTTGGTTATTCTTGGCCAATGGTGATCTGTGACACATAAATTTATTTCTCTATGGTGAAAAACAGGCATCTTCAAGTCACTTAAAGACCAGTGGCAAACTCCAGACCAAAGCAGTATATTATTATGCATTTCAAGCATTATGGATATACAAGTTGCTTTAAGAAATGTGAGGGGAATTTGGACATGAACTAACATTAGAGGAGTAAGTTATATTACCGTTAATGACTATTCTTTAGTCTGACATGTGTCTCTTCAGTTTTTCTCCATTGAAGCAGTTCCATAGTACGTGAACATGAATTCGCTTTAATTAAATTAGGAAGTAGAATCATGGGTTACCCTTATCTCATCTGTGTGACTTCTGTAAAGAGTTAACTTCTCTCAGTTCCAACCAGAAAACCATTTCTGAAAGAAATAGATGTACAGAATTCCTTTCCAGCCATACTTCTACCAGTCCTGTATGTTCCTTGAACTACATTGTTTCAATATTGGTTCAAAGGGTAAGATTAAGCATACATTTTTATTTCATTTTTCTTCAGCATACAACATGATTTGGCCTTTAAACTTCATTACCAACCTTACCAATATTTGCTGTGGCAGCAGCTCATCACCATAATGTCTAAGAGCTTTTATAACGCCTCAGCATATAATTTAGTACTGGCTTCTCAGAAAAGTTTAAATAGGATTAATAATTAATAAATTACCCCTTTTTAGAGTGAACCAAAAGACTTTAAATAAAACAGCAAAACCCTTCAGGCTGTTGCAGCTGTAACAGAAATATCTGTTACACTGAAGGAGAATCCTGCTATCACAGCTTGGGTTTACTCTTGTTTTTCTGTAATGCAAAGGCAATTCCAAGCAAGAGTAAAAGCCAAAGCAGTGTGAATGAAGAGCACATGAAAGGAAATGGCTGGGTTGCTTTAACAGGAGTCCTAGGAAATACAGGAAACAGAGTTATTTAATGACAAAATTAGGTTGTCTAAAGATTTATTATGAGAACACCTTTGAACCTTTCTGATTTAAACTTTCAAATTTTTCTTTACAGGAAATATTAGCAAAAATTGTACAAGTAATGGATGGTCAGATATTTTCCCTGACATCTTAAGTACCTGTGGATATAATGACTATGAAGACGATTACAAGGTAGGAAAAATACTTTTTCTATTCATTTTGATGCTGGTGTTCAATACATCTATCAGACATGTTCTGCTCTTAAATAACTCCCATTTTACTCAGGCTCAATGAAAATCAGACTGAATGAAAATTCTGCAGTAATATTTGGTAGCATTGGTTGCAATATGTTTGGATTGCAGTTGTCTAATGAGATATAGACATATAGAATTCAGTAACTGTTTGAAATTCAAGGCTGTAAGCAGTTGGTAATTGCAGTAATGCATCTGTGTTTCTAATATTGCAGTGTTACTCAGTTTATGCACCATATGTTTTGCATTGGGTTATTTCAGTAAGTTTCATTTATTTCAAAAGAATATTCAAAAGAAGTTATTTCCAAACTGAATACTGTACTAATCTATCGATAGTACATGCACCACTTGATTGCTTGTATCTGTTCAAGTTATAAGTAAAATAGAATTAATTTAAGTCATTGGAGTTATTGCAGATTTATACTGGGCATTAAACTGCATTAGCATTTGGAAGTGCTTCAGAAAGCCATCATGGTATCTTAAATATACTATGCATGGAAACCCAAGTTTGTTAACTTTGCAGATTCTATTTCTTGTTCTTTTTGTTGAGGGGGTGATTTCTTTTCCACCACATTTTACATATTTTCTATCTGTTTTCCTGCTGAGGCTAACAGAGTAAGATTTTGTTTACAAACATGAGCTCATAGTGTCAGTAAAATTCTTGTTACCCAAAACAGATTAAGTCCTCTTATGAATAAAGATACTTGGGTGGTTGGGGTTCTTTTTCTGGATTTCAATTTCCATAGAATAGCTGTAGCAGATCTGATCTGTCTGGTTTGCAGAGATGTGCATGCAGTTTTTGCCTTCTCTTTCTGTGTTGAAAAGCCCAACCTTTACTGTAGTTAAAAATAGATAATACAGAAAATTGAAAGAATGGGTTGTTTCCCCAAATTTTCTTAAGACACATTATAAAATGTGTGTCATCTGACAACTTGGGAACACACTGTGTATTACTGCTAAAACAGCCATTTTAAACATTGTCACTTGACCCATTGTCATGACATGAGAAAATGGGTCAAGACATAAAAATTCAAATTAACAAAAGATGATATTTCAACAAGTGAAAAACACTTAATTAGCAGATGAAGTAGTACAACAGAAAACCAGTTCTTGTTTGACATACTCATTAATAATTTGAAAGAGGCGAATGAACTGCAAATTGATTACACTTGCAGGAATTAGCCTAGAAAACTGGAAATAGGAAGCAGCAGCAACATTTACAAAAGCCTTGAAAAAAAAGCAAAAAAATAAACGTGTTAGGATGAAAATCAGAAGAGAGATGTGGGAAGCAAGTACTGAAAAAATCACTAGCAAAAGTACCATAGATAGAATATAATAGGTATATCATAGGGACAATAGAGAAAAATGCAAGTGTCATGCAGTTGTGAGATTTCAGGAGGCATTTGAGGTTCTGCATCAACCACTTTTTTACGCACAGGATATTTCCTTCATTTTGGATCTTAGTGCTCAATGGTAGCACCTCAAACCAAAACCTTTACTCAGCATAAATCAATATAGCTTTTCAGGTTTTGGTGTGTGTGATTTGTTTTTGTTGGGGTTTTTTATGTAGTATTTCAACTCTAAGAGCTAAAAATAAAGTCCTAAGTATTTGGATACTGAATATTCTGGACACAAAAATGTCATGCAACCATATGCTTTGTAGATGGTGTATGAAGTTGCCCTCAAAGTCACAGTAACTAAGGAGATAATATTTTAGGGAAGGTGGCAAAATGTTTTTCCTATGGTAAGTCCTAAGTTTTCTTCTATATGCTTTCCTTCGAAGATGATGTTAGAGGAGTAGGTAGAAACTGTCTTTGGTGCCAGTTTGATGCCTGCCTCTTCATTGCTGAATGAGTTTCCATTATAGATCCAATGTAGTATTTGTTCCTGGGAGTTTTTTCTGTCTTTTAAGATATAGACTTGTATTTTTAATGCAAGAGGGGCTTATTTCTGTACATATTTTATACTTATTTTATATATATATATGCAGACAGACACATCTATCTCTCCAGATTCTGGACAGTTTTGAATCTTTCAGAGAAGGTTTAAATGATAAAGATCGGTGAGCAAATACTGAACAAGCAATTTATTAACAGGCATCAAATGTTTATGCTGAAAAATGTTTATGCACTGAAATGAGGAAGCTTATTTAAAAGCTCTATAAACATGGCACCTGTTATTTCTCTGCTGAAAGAACTTGCATCAACAGTTTACATTGATTTTATGTTCAAATTAAAAAGTTCAATTTTTATTCTGTGTCAGATTGTCTATTAGCAGCTTACGTAAAAAGAAACTATTTGCTTAAAAATTTGAAATTAACAATGAGTGTCTGATACAGAACCTTTGTTCAATTCTATATTAGATCTGTGCAGTGTTTACTGGTCCTGTCATTATTTCTTGGGGATTGATTTGATAAGGATGACTGTCCTGTTTTCAGCTGCTATAGGGTTAATTTTCTACCTCCTAGCTTTTACAGGGCTGTGTTTTGAATTCAGTATGAGTGTAAAGTTGACAACACAGTGATGTGTTAGCTGTTGCTAAGTAGTGCTTACCCTGAGTCAAGGACTTTTCAGATTCCCATGCTCTGCCAGCGAGCCAGGTGCACAAGGAGCTGGGAGAGAGCAAAGCCAGGGGACAGCTGACCTGGACCAGCCAGAGGGATATTCCATACCATAGAACGTGATATCCAGAGAATAAACTGGGAGGAGTTGGTTGGGAGCTGCCTTCTGCTGCTTGGAGATGGCATCAGTCAGTAGGTGCTGAGCAATTGTGTTGGGCATTGCTTATGTTGCTATCTCAGCCCAGGTTTAAAGCTTCCCAGTTCCCCTCCCCATCCTACCGGGTAGCGGGATGGGGAGGCAGGAGGAGGAGGAGGAGGGAGAGATTGAGCGGCTGTGTTATGACACAAAGTATCCTTTGTTGCCGCTGGGGTTAAAGGAGGACAATGACGGCGTCTGAACAAAATGTTTGTATGTTGTTACCACATCAAAACGTAGATCTCAACCTTCCTGATGTACCTCCCGACGCCTTTCTGTAAGTCAGCTAGTTACTGCTGACCTTCAACATCAAGTTTTAGCTTCATCTCAGGTACTCCAATAAGTCTCCTCTTTTTCCATTTTTTATTTCCGTGGAGCTCATGGCAGCACGATTGTAAAATAAAGATCTAGATTGTAAAATAAATTCTAGAAATACACGTCAAGGTGTGTTAACACAACTCATACCCCACTGCAACCTTTCCTTAACATATTTTGACATCATCTATCTAGGCTGAACAAGTTGTAGGCATGTCCTAGTTGTCATCAGAGAGTATTAGGCTCTCTGTGTGAGGACTATTAATATATAGCAAGATGTCTGGTGAATGTAAAGCACTGAAATGAGCTTTAAATTTTTATTTAAGACAATGACTGAATCAGTTAATACAACTCTGTCTAATCTTAGTGTGACTTGGCCCGAGATTTATTAGATCAAACAAAAGCCCAACTCCCACAAGTTACAGGCTATGTGATTTGAATGTGTAGTGTCATATAAAGGCAAATTCATGGAGAGAAGGATCCTCAGGGCTATTAAACGTGGTGATACTGCTGCAGCTTGGACATTAAGGAGGGGCATCCTCCATGGAGGGAGTATTCCCCCATTTTGCCAATCTCCTGAACTGTTCACTCTTAGGCAGCTGTCAGAGAGAACATCCTGGGTGTGCTGCAGACACACCACCCAGGGCATGTGGAGTCAGGGCAGTGAGGTCAGGGCTGACACAAACCCTATCTTGGATGTCTGTAGCTACCTCTAGAAAACAGATGCATTAGTTACATTTATTTATGTATTCTGCATTTTTCATTTATTATTTTCATGAGGAATGATTAAGAGACTAGTACTCCTTAAAATAAATGCAAAATCCTCCACTGACATCAGCTGAGGACTAGGACTGAATATTAGCTGATATTTCCTCTTGTAGAGCACAAAGGGAATTTGCTTTAATTGCAGGCAATTCAATAAACTGCACAATAAAAGTATGGCATGAGAAAGTTTGCATTCACAGATACATCTGCTGACACACATTTACACAGGAAAATGTGGAAGTTTGTGCATTTCTAAAGTTGCCATCTCTCCTACAACTGTTAGGGAACTTTAAATAAGAAAGCATTCTGACTGACATAATTAAAATTAATGATGCCACTTTTATTAAGAGATACTTATGGCAATGCTGGTCTCATCTTTTTTGAGTGATGTTTAGGCTTACGGTGAATTGGAGGAGAAACGTCAGAAAAGGAATATCATTAATTACTTGTATACAGATTATTAAATATTCTGAGGAATGCTGACTTTACTACGTGCTTTTAGTAAACAAAATGAAGAGTGACTTGGGATGATAATGGTCATAAATTCTGAGTAATGATCAGTTATATTTCTGGGCAGATGAATACGGAGGTGAGGTATTTTCTTTTACATTAAGGGTGATCTCTGGTTAACAGCAAAACTCCTTTGGACAAAGAGTCAAGCCCTAAACTTTCTCCAGGGTTTTGTCCTTCAGCGCTGAGGTACCTTCTCACCCCTAGAGGTCCTTCCAAACCAAGGCTGAGGTTGAAAGATCCACTGGGTAACTGTCAATTTTGTCTAGGAAGGTTCTGTGCTATTCTGTAAATAAACAGAAGACTTCTGTCTCCTGAACTTATTAAAAATAATACAAAACTAACTTTAAAGGAAACATCAGCTGAAACAGGTGTCTTTTCAAGAAAACAAAACACAAGTGTGCCAAAGAATAGATTTTGCAAAAAAATTTATTGAAGATAATAAAAATTACACAAACTTTCATTAATCCAATTTATTTTTAAAAGTGTTGGGTTTTGTACCCTTTTACAATCTATTAATATTAGGTAGCCACAGAAGAAGAGGAATCATTTTAGGATTAGATCTTTAGAAAGCATTTACCATTTCTGTGAACAT